AGGACATACCAAGAGATTGCTTTGGTTTTGCAACTTTTTTTTTTTTTTGGGGGGGGGGGGGGGAGGATTTTCCAGTCCCAGAACAAAAAAAGATTCTGTTCAATAAACAGGCGCAATAATCACAGAGTAGGGCAAATCGCAGATAGTTAATTTTAAAATTTATTATTACGGATATACTGAGAGTGTCTGCATAGTTAATGCTCTGTGAGTGCGTGTATGTGGAGCGTGTCTCTGTGTATATTTTCCTAGCTATAAAATTCCGAGTGAATTACGATCAACCCCCCCAGTAGTCACAGTGCCACAGACACAGCTCTCTCTGCAAGCTGGTTCCAAACAACATGTATCCGAACCTGCTGTGACCCAAAGCACTAAAGGGATCAGTACATAAAACTGCGGAGGAGACGAGCATCACTAAATTCGAGGTGCAGAATGTTTCATCAGGACAATGAAATAGTGGGAAACGCGTGGGAAAGAAAATGGGGAAAAAACAACAGAGCACTTTTAGATTATGCTGGGATAAACTTGGAAGCAATAAAACTAAATGTAACCCCTATATAATTTAATAGTTTAGTGTCAAATCGCAATCCAGTCGAAGCCCTGCAAAAAACAAATACATACATATTCTGTCAACTTCTACCAAAAAAGAAAGAGAGAAAAATATCGGAAACCGTTTAAGCACGCTTATTTATTTTAGCCGGTACCTGAAAACAGTATTCAAGAGAGGGGGCTCAGAGTGGAGCAGTGTTTATGGCAGACCTTGCAATGCGCTGCTGCCCACTTCGTTCCAAACTTACTATCATCCACTTTCCACAAAAGCACACTGCAGATTTGTTCTTGTGCAAGGGAACCCGAAACATTTTTTTTTTTTACAGATGTGACAAACGCAATTTGTTTTGATTCGGCGGGGAGGGGGAAGCTGGATGTTTACTTTTACCTCCTCTAGAGCCTGAAGTCCTTGAGCAAAGCGAAAAGAAAAGGCAGCTAATAGGGAAGAATCGAAAGAAAATGAAACTATTTTTTCAGCATACGCCGGACTCGTTACTTTCATCCAGTACTTGCAGAGATCACAAAATCCCATCGCTATGAGCACCACTGTTTGCACTACACCATTCCCACTATCAGAACTGCATATAAATAAAATTATGGCACTACATTGGGATGCTAGCCACACAAGTCCACTGATAGCTTATTTCTTTAAGGCATTAACTGAACTCTGATTAGGGACCATTTTACAACCAACGTAGTTTCTTGTATATCCACTTTAAATGAAATATGATTTTTCTGCTTTGCTTTTCCGGTAACAAAAATATTCTGAGATCCAGAAATGGTATTTAAGGATCCAGTATTCTACCCCACTATTTATTATATACACATGTGTATGCATATACATTATATATAGATATATAAAGGTATCATGCCACAATATTTATTCCAGGAAAGATGATTTGATATTCTTTAATTGTATGGAGAAATATTAACTTTTCCAAAGAAAACCAAAACCGTTCAGATTAGAAATCACGTTCCACCCTTATAGTATAAAGGCTGTTTTTCAGCCGGTATTTCAGGATTAAATACTCTCACTGTCACCTTTAAGTAAATTTCTATATAACATTAAGAGAAATAACACATACTGACGAAGTTTTAAAAACCAAGAACAGATATCTTTCTTGCATATGCCCGTATCAGCTTACAAGGCAACATTTAACAGAAGTACGGGATCATTTCACTTCAGAATTATAATTTCTTAACAAAAAAGTAGTATACATAAAATGTTGAATCAGTCAACACACTTCAGAAATCTCTTCCACTTTGCCAGGTTAACCCTGGTTAAAAGGATGCATCTTTTTATTACCTAAATGTATCAGCAGACATAAGATAAAAAGTGGTAAAGTTATAGAAATTTGCATCCATCTGTCTCCCTGAAACATACCTCCTAGTTGTTTGCCATGTTCGCAAACCCAGTGTTCATATATATTACAATTATTTAAAAAAAAACCCATAATTTAAAGGCACTCGAGTTTGGGGTTTTTGTTTATAAATGCTATAATGACTACCTCAGTGTAGTCATCCTACCTAAAAAATAACACAGAAATGCATTCTTTGGTGTTTGTGTTTCCATTCTGCAGACAAAAAATTCGCGGTGCCAAAATGTTATCTGTATAAAAGCATACTTTGCCTCTTCCTAAAAACTTTGGAAGGCCGGACAGGCTGGGGGAAGGGAAGGAGTTCTTGGACGCTACCAAAAGGCTGGTCTATCTTTCTGTTTTCTCGCAAGAGCAGTACCGTCCATTTCACCCAAGCGTTACTATTACTATGCATATTATTAATAATTAACATTTTCATGCCTTTCCCCACGGTTTTATTTAATCTTTTGGGGTGCCTTTATGCTTAATTTTCTTCTTATTAGGCATTTTGCATACGTTTCCCCCCGATCTGTTATTTTAAGGGAAAAGCTGTATCTTTGAGGGGTTTATTATATTTAGGGGGTTGAATGACTCTCCCATTCCTTCGCCTCCTACCGTTTCGGTCTCTCCCCTGTCTATAGCCGAGCTGATGGCCGGTGCTTCGCTTTTGGTTCTCCGATCCATCTCGTCGATGACCCCGTGCATCTCCGAGCCGGACAGACTGTGGAAAAGCATCGCTGAGGAAGCAGAGGAGGAGGCCCCGAGTTGCTGCTGCTGCTGACAGTTGTCGGGGTCCCTGCAGGAGCCCAGAACTTGCATTAACCGGAGCCCTCCCCCATGCATCTAGCACGGCCGCCCCGTCTCTCCTTGGGCTCCGGGCTTTTCACCCCGGCAAAGATTTCCGGAGCGCAGCGCAGGCACTGATCCGAGGTTTCAAGGGGATGGGGCGCAGAAAAGGCGGGCGAAGGGGATGAGGGAGAGGGGATAACTGGTGGTGTAAGCTTCGGGGCTTGGATCTAGTCTGTTGCGCGGCCCCGGCACATCCCTCTAGGAGGCTTCTTCAGTGCAGGGCTCATTGCCCCAGGTGCAGTCCCAGGCTTTATGCTCTGGCCCAGCCGGCAGAACGCTGGGCAGGTTTACGGTTGGGAAGGATTAATAAATAATAGAAATATAAAAAATTAAACCATCTTCGGTGAGAAATAAATAAAAAAATAATAACGACAAGCCCCCTACATCGTACTGTGCGAATTTTGGAGGAGGAAAGCAAGGGAGAGGGAGGCTGCGGCAGGGGGAGAGCAGGCTGGTGCTGCGAGGAGGATGGGACGGATGCCCACCGTACGCACTCACAGTCCAGAGGGCTGGCAGCGGCGGCAGCTCAGGGGCAAAGTTTGCTCCTTCCCCCGCTCCTCCCCCAGCCCGCTGGAGCTCATTGGAAAAAGAAAAAGCCAAGGGGAAGGAGGAAGAGTTGGATGGGCACCAGATGGGACGGGCACTCGGCGGCCCCCCTCTCTCCTTAAAGCGGCGCGGCCCGCG